CCCCCCCCCCCCCCATAAAAGAAACGTTTGTTGAAAAATTACCCACACTTCGGCCATCTAAGATGTAGTTTAGTTTGTTTCTTCATTGGAACAGATTTGGAGAAATTTAGCATCACATCACTTATTCATACTTATTGGATCATCTGCAGTGAATGGGTGCCGTCAGAATGAGAGTCCAAACAGCTGATTAAAACATCACAATAATCCACAAGTAATCCACACAACTCCTGTTGATCAATTAACACATTTTGAAGCAAGCTGCATGTTTATAATACATTCATCAAACGTTTTCCTCCATACTTAATATTGTTTTCTCAAGTGAAAAAGTAATCTTGCTCAGGAGAGAAATATGCACAGATCAGGCACTATTTACAAGCAAAAACAGCCTGGTTAGTACTAAACAAATAGGTTGATGGATTTTGAAGTGAGAGGATAACAGGGGATGGAATTTTTCATTGGAGCTAGTACTGCTATGTATTATGGACTGGCATTTAGGCCAGAAGTGATGGTTTAAAGTTAACCCCTTAACTGTCACCGTCCCACCTGTGGGACGTTTGGCGCTCTTTTTTTTTGTGTCTTTTTTCTCTATCAAATCTTTTAGTAATCATCATAAATCATATATCATTTGAAAGCTTAGAAGCCCAAGATTCATCCTGTGAAAACCATTTCGAAATCAGACATTGTCTTACTATGGAAATGGTACTTTAAAATCTTTTGGCGGTCTCCTCCCCCTTAGTGGGCGGTGTCAAGTGTCATATTACAAAATGAATTACGGTCTTTTAGAATCAAAACTTTTTATAATCTTGACAAAAAACATATCATTGGAAAGGTCTGAGTCTCAGGATTCCATATTTGAGGTAGAAGTAATATTGAGAGAGAAATCTAGACATTTGTGACAGAAAAATGCATTTAAAAAAATGCAATGGAGTTTGGATGGCACCCGGTGGCTGTTTGTGGTATAACGCCCTAAATAAAATCTCACAGGAACCTCAATTTTGAAAACTTCAAATTTGAAACATAACATATTTAGACATAAGGCTATAATTTTATACCAATTTTAGAGTAAACCCTGATATGTAAAATATTTATTATATATAAAATAAAATTAATATAGTTCTTTACTGTACATTTAAACTACTATAACATTTTGATACTTCAATCTTTTGAAAAAATTCCACTTTGGCTATAATTTGCTGATTTTCTTCATTAAAAAGAGGCCAACCTTATGTCTGTATTCCAAAGTGTTCATAAATTACAACAATTTAAGTTTGGAACACATGGAAACACATTAAATAATCAGGACAGGAACAGAAAGGAAACCAAACATGGGCATAAACTGAACATAACACAGGACATTAACGTAACATAATGCCCCCCTGCAGAAGCCGCGTCCTCGTGCCACATAACATCAACAGGGTGGGAGGGTGGGTGCCTTGGAGGTCCCTCAGGACAGACCACTACGGAACAGGGACACCTCCAAGGCGGTACCAGTTCGGGGTGCCATGGCAGAGCAGGCAGACTAGGAAGCCATGGTGGAGCAGACCGACTAGGGAGCCATGGTGGAGCAGACAGTTCAGGAGGCCATGGCGGAGTAGGCCATAGTAGGCCATACTCCTACTACCCCCTCCCCCCCAAAAAAAATCCTTGGGGAGAATATCATCTTTAGAGGCCCTCTGTAGGCCTAACTCGGGAACTGTGGCCCTCCCTAGGCTTGACTTGGGGACTGGAGCCCTCCTTGGGAGGGACGTGGGAACTGGAGCTCTCTCTGGTCAAAACTCAGGGACTGGAACCCTCTCTGGGCTAAACTCGGGGACTGGAGCCCTCTCTGGGCTAAACTTGGGGACTGGAGCCCTCCGTGGACATTCCGTGGTAAGCTGGAGAATGCCGTGGCCGGCGGGCTGACTGAGGAATGGCCGGCGGGCTTGACTGAGAAACGGCCGGCGGACTTGACTTCGGAGCGGCCGGTGGGCTTGTCTGCTGAGTGGTCGGCAGCGGGGTTCCAGATCAGGATCGTAGACTCTCCAGACACTGGATGACTGCCTCCTTCCAGGTGAGGTTGGTGGTGGCAGTTCTTAGACCTTGTCCAGTAATCTCTGTACCCAGCTCTCCCCAGGGCTTTAGCGACCTCAAGAGCATTACCTCATCAGGAAGAAAACCAACAGAAATACCCTCAAGTCTTTTAAGTCTGATTTAAGATGTATGGGCCAATTTGTGGGTTCAGATCCCTTTAGTTGCCCTTTTCATAGGAGCATGCAGCTAAAACACTGGGGACCGTGTTCATTACTTCATTTTTATTTTTTTTTACCTCCTTCAGCCTTTTATTCATATACAGGCACACATTTTTAAAATGCTTACCAGACTCTTTTTTCCTTCAGTGAGCACAGCACAGAACATTTTTGTTTGGTGGGACACTTCAGAGAATACTTTAGAATGCTTATGCTGGAAGATTTCAGATGGGATACTGGGCTTTTCTCTACGCTCAAGGATGTTTGGGGTAAACTCAACAGCATGATGAATCTTTTCTCTTCCACGAAAAATAATTCCTAGGACATACTATTTGTATTTATAAAAAATCTGCTGTAAAATAATTAAAGATCCATGATGTGTTCGATTTATAGTGTGGAATATTTTCTCAGTACCTTGTGCCCCAGAGGTTTTGCTGTTGCCACCGGCTGCTCCAGATCCTTGCCTCTGTTGAATGGAATAAGGAAAGAAACTAAATTAAAATGTTTTTAACTTTCAAAAATCATTTTACAAGAAGGTTGAAATAAATGAAGAGAAGGTTTGTTAACTACAAAAACACAGGCCTGGGTGAATATCACAAGTCACCAGTCATATTTCAATTTTAAAAATACGATTTATTTTAATATGCAGTTAACAAAAAAAAAAAAAAAAGGAAATGAATTTAGTGCTGTCAAATAATTAATCACGATTATTCACATCCAAAATAAAACTTTTTGTTTACATAATATATGTGTGTGTACTGTGTGTGTGTGTGTGTGTATATATATATATATTCATGTATAATTTATATTATATATAAATATATAAGTATTTTATAAACAAAACATATTTTTTAAAATATTCTTATACATACATGTGTGTGTATTTAGAAATACATAATAAATATACACAGAACACACATTTTCAGAAATATCAGGAAAATGGGGTGCAGTTAAACAGCCGAGTGAGCAAGAAGGCATCACCAGCATGTTTTCCCTGGGCACATCATCTCCTGCATTATTAACTGCACTTTCACTGAATTTCAAACCGTGTTTGTAGTGCTTTGATGTGAAGAGCTCAGGCAACCTGCATGTCCTTTCATGCCATTAAGAATGTTCAGCCAAACATGAGCACAGAAACAACCCTCCTGTTTAATGTTTCCTTCAACTCTTTTTAATTAAAGCTTTCATGCATTTAAATCCTGTGATACACTAGACAGGGTCCAAAATGTACTCTTTGCAACACCTGCCTGAGTGTATAAAGGTAATTTATTTATAAGCCATGAATATTTATAGGGGGTGGGGTGCTTTAGGTGATCCTTCTGTCAGACCCCCATCCCGTTAAAATGTCATATGACTGAAACTATTTTATCATTCCGACATGTTTCACAGCCACAATTTGTGTATTTTTGAAACTATAATGAAATATAAGGCCAATTTTACAGTATAGACCTTATTCAGGTTAGACGTCATAAATTTAACATGAATGAAAACAAGGCTGTGAAGGATAGACTTGCAGTCTTTACAATGATATGCAATGTATAAAAATTCTAGATCACGTAATTTTTACAACTCTGGAAACTATAGAGCAGGGCTGTCCAAACTCGGTCTTGGAGGGCCGGTGTCCTGCAGAGTTTAGCTCCAACCCTAATTAAACACACCTGAACCAGTTAATCAAGCTCTTACTAGGCATAAAAACTTCCAGTCAGGTGTGTTGAGGCAAGTTGGAGCTAAACTCTGCCGGACACCGGCCCTCCAGGACCGAATTTGGACAGCCCTGCTATAGAGTTTTTGTCTTCTGATTTTTTTTTTTCATCAGCTGAACGTGTTGAACAACAGTACAATCCATTAAACACACTGTACTTATTTCCCTCACAGCCTCATTTTCATTCCTGTCAAAAATTAAATATGCCATTACCCTGATTAAGGTCTATTGGGCAGATCTCTATTCCAACCTTGAGACCATTAGCTTTGCTTTCATCAGAAACCATAACACGGTATCAGCTGTATTATGTTATTGATAAAGATACATTTTTCCCTTAATTTGTAGTTAATAATTTATTTTATTGTATTTTATTCAATTTTCTAGTAAGGCTGAAAGGTATAAATACTTAATGTTATGTATTTGTATTCTAGTTTTGAACTTTGTTCTTATTTCTATTTAATTATAATACTATCCTTTGAACTTAGTTTAGTTTTCATTGTTTTTCATTGTATGAGTGTTCAGTTTGAATTGAGTCTGAGTTGAAGTGGCCTAACACTATTTATTCACTCATACACTTATTTATCTAACACACACACTCAGTCTACATTTCAATTTGCACAAATTATACCTGTACATACAACTGTCTATTGTTATATACCTATACATACAATTGTCGATTTGTATATTTTTATTCCTTATTTACGTTCTATTTTTCTATTTTTTATTATCTGTGTTTTTGTTCTGTCACTGTCATTCTGTTACACTGTGGAGCTTCTGTCATGAAAACAAATTCCTCGTATGTGTAAACATACCTGGCAATAAAAACTCATTCTTCTTCTTCTTCTGACACAATCTGTATTTTATAAAATGCTATATAAATGAAGGTGACTTTACTTGACTATTAAATCCAAAGTTCTGCAATGAAACTCTAGATGGTGCAGGCTGATCCTTAACTCAAACTGCTATCACATTATCAACGTGACACAGCTGATTGGGTTCTGTTGCATCAGCAGCCAATGAGCTTGCTGCTCAACATTCAAATAGTTGACCAATGTTTGCTGAAACAGTTTGCAACACGCTTTCAGAAAGCATCTGAAATCAGTATCTAAGATAAGTGAATGCTCTTTTACTCCATATCATGGCATATTGCAAGGTCTTCCTTAAATGAGCAAGCATAAACAAGTTTTAAACTTAAAAGTGTCATGTTTAAGTCTTGCATTTGATGCAGGAATTAATGACTAAACATATAAGCAGCAGTGTTTACACAACTGGGTTTATACAGATACAGCAACAAGCAGTCTATTGTTTTACCAGAATATGTAATTGTTGTAATGATTTGCCGACTAAGCTATGGATATGAGAACAGGCTAAAGTGAAATAATCTTTCGCTCTGGATATATCTGTATATATATATTTTCAAGCAGGATTTGCCATATTTAGCTGTGTTACCTCTTTACAATTTGAGCTGAATTACTGAAATAAAAGAACTTTTCCACGACATTCTAATTTATTGAGATGCACCTGTATATATCAGTGGCGTTCCGTTCATTAAGCTGCGAATGCTCTGCATGCCCAGGCCATTTTAGAGAATAAATTTACGGGATAATTCATATAAACATGATTATAAGTTGATCCCTTGTAATTTGAAATGTAACTTAAAGCTTAAAGAGTTAGGAATAAGTACGTAAAATGATTTATTTGCCAAAAGTAATTTATCTTTAAATCTATCAGTTGTGGTTGCTTCCGGGCGAGCAGATTCTCTGCAGCTTTCTCACCTCCACTCTGTTGAAGTGACGAAGTGAAGTGACATGTGACATGTATGGTGACCCATACTTGTAATTAGTGCTCTGCATTTAACCCATCCAAAGTGCACACACACACACCCGGAGCAGTGGGCAGCCATTGTTTTGCTGCGGCGCCCGGGGAGCAGTTGGGGGTTTGGTGTCTTGCTCAAGGACACCTTAGTCATGGTATTGAAGGTGGGAGAGAGTGCTGTACATTCACTCCCCCCACCTACAATTCCTGCCGGTACGAGACTCGAACCCACAACCTTTGGGTTACGAGTCCAACTCTCTAACCATTAGGCCACGACTTCCCCAAGGAAGTCTATTTGCTATGGCTCGTCAGGATTATAGCTGACGATTATAGCTATAGCACGTTCTCAGTGATTTGCTGGTCTGCGATTTATTTAATGCGCGAGGTAAGCTGTTCGCGAAGCTATCGCCCAAGCGGAAAAATGTGCTGTTGCTGTCAGATCTGAGAATCACAATTCTGAGAATCACATTGTGTTTTATGCAAAACCAACTTGACTAAATCAAAAGAAAAAAAACACTAAATGTATATTTTTATTTTCTCAAGCAAAGCAAATTTTAAAAGTCCATTGAACCTATTACATTTTTGGTCATAGACAACGAATATTGAAGATATACGTTACTGTCAACGTTATTGCCTAAGCGTTTATAAAAATGTGGGCTATACAATATTTTTGTAATAACAGACATATTGTTCCCTTTGTTTTGCATATGCTCGTGTCGCTTACAGTTGAAGTCCTTCTCTGATTTTATTATTGTTTGCTAGGTTGCAACGTTACTTTGCAATATTTGAAATATTTTTTGGTATTTTGCATGGTCTGTTATTGGAGTAATGTCACCCGGTGGGGAGTTTTAACTGTTTTCACTGGGAATAAAAAAAATAATTTGGCAGATGCAGAGACATATAGACCGGAGGCGATTATTTTTTAATAATTTTAGTCGATAACCGATATGCATTTCCATTTGTTTTGAAACAACACCAAGTCTCTCCTGTGCAGAAATTATAAACAAATAATTTTTAATTTTGGATAGTTGAGCAAAAACTTATTTGTTAGAACTGATAAATATTCTTAAAGTTATTTTTTTAAAGAGAGTCTCTGCTGTTCCAAAACAGTGAATCTAATCACCATTCAGGGAAAAGTTCCCTTAAAGAATGACCACACTGCTGGCGTGATCTTATCGCTAGCACACCCTGAGCACGTTATTCAGTTATTCGTCTTATCTGTTTCTGATGATATCGTGCATCCATAGCAGCAGCAGTATTTCTTACAAGCACACAGCAGCATGTCAGTGGATGTATAGGCAGTAGCAAATCTCGGTACTTGCTCTGCTGCAGCAGCAGCATAACAGATCTATTCCGCCAAGACCAAACACATTAACAATGCCATGTATCAGGGGCGTAGGCCAGTGTTTGAATTGAGGTGGGGCTGTGGGGTTCCCGGACCTCCCATAAGCATTAAGAGACACCGGAGTTTTCAGTGCGTGCGCTTGCTGACTGAATTGACTGAAACTCGCAAATTCTCTCATCATAAGCAACAAAGTGCTGATGTACGTATGCTGTAAGTAATTTATCATAAAGTGTATGGACCGCTTCATTGATTATAACAGGAGTTTTGAGTGCTTAAACTCTGGCTAGCCTGAATGTAAATGTTCTTTGCTCGATTTCTCCATAATTTATTCGCTATTTGAATAAGTGTGAACATTAAAGTGTTATAATTAGTAACTTAGAATGTTTTTATTAAATGATCACTTCAAATACAAATTCAGTCGTATTAAAATATTTCATGACACCACATCTGGTACTTGTCTAAACAGACGGGTTTATGATGTGTGTAGTTAATAGATTACACTAATTTTAGGCTACTTTAGCCTTACTCTGCAGTTGGCTCACTCTTTGCCTATGGGTAAGATATTTCATTCTTCTTTGCGTAATGAATGTTTGGTACACCTAAT